GAGCAAAGTCAATAGCTAAAAAGACTAATCTGGCACTATTGTAGCAAACAGACATTTTTTTTTTAGGAAGGTGGAAGTATCTTGGCAAGCCAATAGATGGGACAACACGTGACAGCTCACCCACAGCCAGAAGAGATAGCCATGTCCATCCCATTCCACCCAACTCTCGGCTACTGCATGCTGAGTATAAGTGATCCTGTCCATTTTCAGAAGCCAGTTTTGCCATCGTGCAAAGCAGCAATAAATCAGCCTGCGGTGAAGGTAAGGAAACCAGCACACAGGAAGCTCGTACCGCGTTACTGCCTGCGCTCAACAAGATAAAAGATGAAAAAGCTCTCATGATAAGCACACGTAGCAGCGGCACACCGTGTTTTGGCTTTCCACCTGTAGCTGATAATATCTCTGTGACACAAGGCAGTAGAACACTGCCAGGTACAGTGCTGTAGAACTTATGGACGTTCACTTACCAAAAGAAGAGAGCTCAGTGGACTGTCCACTGCAATAGAGTCCAATGTGCCTAGGACAGCCATTCTCCATGGAAGACTAGCATTCCTCCAAAGGTTCCTCAGGGGTTCCTCAAAGCTGAATTCCAGGGATAGATATTTCTACATTGGCTCACCTTGGACCAACGTTGACAATGATGTTGATGGAAGCTGGAAATCACTGAAGTAGACACCACTACTATCCTGCTACTCCAGTGATCTCTACTAGCTCCCGGTTCCAGTGTGAGTGTTTGCCCTGCCGCATTACAAATAGAGGAGGCCGCTTGCTTGGCAATGGCACCGTTGAGAGATTGCTTTGCATTTCCTCAACAAAGCTGGACCAATGTAACTGTGTAAAATGTCAGTGCCTGGAATTCAGTTCAGCTATGGCTGATTGACCCCAAATGGGAAAGTGCACAGTTCCAAGGGCAATGACACCAATAGACATTGTAACTGTCTTTAAAGGGCATTCTGACCATCCCTATAAGGGTTACTTTCTTCCTACTGACCACCAATGTAAGAGACATTCTTTCCACTGACCACCAATGTAAGAGACATTTTTCCCATTAACTCCCACTTCATTTGGTTTTAGTAAGGACCTAAAAATTACATTGGTGGTCAGTGAAAACAATGCCCCTTAACTTGGTACTCAGTGAGAAGAGTGCTCCTTTCATTGGTGGTCGGTGGAAAAAATGTCCCATACATTGGTCAGTGGAAAGAATGTCCCTTTCATTGGTGGTCAGTGGAAAGAATGTCCCTTACATTGGTGGCCAGTGGAAAGAATGTCCCTTACATTGGTGGTCAGTGCAAAGAATGTCCCTTACATTGGTGGTCAGTGCGAAGAATGCTCCTTACATTGGTGGTCATTGGGAAGAATGTTCCTTACATTGGTGGTCAGTGCAAAGAATGTCCCTGACATTGGTGGTCAGTGCGAAGAATGCTCCTTACATTGGTGGTCATTGGGAAGAATGCCCCTTACATTGGTAGTCAGTAGGAACAACGCTCTTTACATTGGTAGTCAGTGAGAAGAAGGTCCTTTACATTAGTGGGCAGTGGGAAGAATGCTCCTTACATTGGTGGTCACTGGGAAGAATGCCCCTTACATTGGTGGTCAGTGGGAAGAATGCTCTTTACATTGATGGTCAGTGAGAAGAATGTCCCTTACATTGGTGGTCAGTGGGAATAATGCCCCTTACATTGGTGGTCAGTGGGAAGAATGTACCTTACATTGGTGGTCAGTGGGAAGAATGTACCTTACATTGGTGGTCAGTGGGAAGAATGTACCTTACATTGGTGGTCAGTGGGAAGAGAAATGCTCTTTACATTTGTGATCAGTGAGAAGGTCCCTTACATTGGTGGTCAGTTGAAAAAATGTCCCATACATTGGTGGTCAGTGGGAAGAATTCCCCTTACATTGGTGGTCAGTGGGAAGAATGTTCCTTACATTGGTGGTCAGTGGGAAGAATGTCCCTTACATTGGTGGTCAGTGGGAAGAAAGCCCCTTACATTGGGGGTCAGTGGGAAGAATGTCTCTTACATTGATGGTCAGTGGGAAGAAAGCCCCTTACATTGGTGATCAGTGGGAAGAATGTCCCTTACATTGGTGGTCAGTGGGAACAACGCTCCTTACATTGGTGGTCAGTGGGAACAACGCTCCTTACATTGACAGTCAGTGGGAAGAATGTTCCTTACATTAGTGGTCACTGGAAAGACTGTCCCCTTACAGTGGTGGTCAAACTGCCATGCTTACAGGTTGATAACAGAAACACTGGCAGATGCCTTGGCTCATTCAAATGGTGTTGGCTCTGGAACTATGCAGGCACCACCAGATGGGAGGTCAGTCGGCCACAGCTCAAGGAACCTCTAACAACCACTGGAGAAACCATAGTTTAGAAAGGTTGGACTAGAGCAGGTGTGGGCAACTGCGGCCCTCTATCTGTTGGAGAACTACAAGTCCCATCATGCCTCTGCCTCTAGGAGTCATGCTTGTAACTGTCAGTCTTGAAATGCCTCATGGGACATGTAGTTCCACAACAGCTGGAGGGCCACAGATGCCCACCCCTGGTCTAAAGAGACTGAACTTGCTACTAGGGGAGGGTAAAGGGTTCTCTAGTGTTAGCAGAGACCTCTATCTGCTTTTGTGCACCCCCCCCCCTCCTCATAATTGGCCATATTGGGGAAAATCATAAAATGTCTCAGATTCTACTAACAGTAACTGTCTTTTTTGCTCATTTTTATTTTATTTAATTCTATTTATTCTCAATTTTTATTTATTCTATTTTAATTTGTAAAGATTTTATTGAACAGATGCCGACAAAATTTTTTCCCCTACAATTCCTGGCCAGGAAATGTGCGTTGGGTGTATATTATGTATCGGTTTTAACAAGTTCACAAGGATGACATGGAAGCAATAATAAACACAAAAGCTTGGAAATTAACTTCTGAAACTTGAAGGCCCACTTGACCTAAATGCAAGATGATGGAGCGTTAAAAGTTCTCTTTTAGTAGATTGCTTCAAAAAAGTCCTGGATTCTTTCTTGGATACACAGAATATAACTGGATATAACATTTATAGGGAAAGTTGATCCAGGGAATATCCGATTGCCTCTCGGGGGATCAGGAAGGATTTTTTTCCCTGCAGGAGCAAATTGGATCGTACTTTGCTGGGTTTTTTTTGCCTTCCTCTGGATCAATTGTGGGTGTAGGATTATAATTTTTTTTAGTGTTGAACTGGATGGACTTTTGTCTTTTTTCAGCCAGACTAACTATGTAACTATAGTAATGCCAAATATAAATTCAAAGCTTCCAATCTGGGTCCAGAAGTGAGATGTGCTACTTAATTTTTCAGGTCTCACGTTTGGAAGAAAATCACAAGAGCAAAAGAGGGTGAGGCCCACAGAAATGGGGTGGGGGCCTCACAGGAACAAATTATAACCAGAAAGAATGAAAATGGTGGGGGGGGGGAATGTTTTCAAACGTTTCCGGATGATTGAGGTGCTCCTCAAGGAGACAGAGGTCTTGTTCAGTGAAAGGCGTTACTATAGAAAAAATCTGGGTCCAGAAGTGAGATGCGTTACTTCATTTTTCAGGTCTCACGTTTGGAAGAAAATCACAGGAGCAAAAGAGGGTGAGGCCCACAGAAATGGGGTGGGGGGCTCACAAGAACAAATTATAACCAGAAAGAATGAAAATGGTAGGGGGGGGGGATGTTTTCAAACTTTTCCGGATGAATGAGGTGCTCCTCAAGGAGACAGAGAGGTCTTCTTTGGTGAAAGGCGTTATTATAGAAAAAAATCTGGGTCCAAAAGTGAGATGCGCTACTTCATTTTTCAGGTCTTACGTTTGGAAGAAAAAAAAGAGCAAAAGAGGGTGAGGCCCACAGAAATGGGGTGGGGGCTTCACAGGAACAAATTATAATTGGAAAGAATGACAATGGGGGGGGGGTGGGTGAATGTTTTCAAACTTTTCCGGATGAATGAAGTGCTCCTCAAGGAGATAGAGAGGTCTTCTTCGGTGAAAGGCGTAATTATAGAAAAAATCTGGGTCCAGACGTGAGATGCGCTACTTCATTTTTCAGGTCTCACGTTCGGAAGAAAATCACAAGAGCAAAAGAGGGTGAGGCCCGCAGAAATGGGGTGGGGGCTTCACAGGAACAAATTATAATTGGAAAGAATGACAATGGGGGGGGGGGGGGGGGGGGAATGTTTTCAAACTTTTCCGGATGAATGAAGTGCTCCTCAAGGAGATAGAGAGGTCTTCTTCGGTGAAAGGCGTAATTATAGAAAAAATCTGGGTCCAGACGTGAGATGCTACTTCATTTTTCAGGTCTCACGTTCGGAAGAAAATCACAAGAGCAAAAGAGGGTGAGGCCCACAGAAATGGGGTGGGGGCTTCACAGGAACAAATTATAACTGGAAAGAATGAAAATGGTGGGGGGGGGGGGAATGTTTTCAAACCTTTCCAGATGAATGAAGTGCTCCTCAAGGAGACAGAGAGGTCTTCATTGGTGAAAGGCGTTATTATAAAAAAAAACAAAAGTTCAGATTTTCCTTAACCCTCTACATGAGGCGAAGGAGGCCTCCTGATCATGTGATCACTATAACTGGCTGTCATAGTGATCACATGATCGGAAGTTTGTCCCATCAGCTCCTGATTGCAAACAGTGACCAAGAGTTGTCAATGTCCCTGTCCACGTGGCCTTTCAAGAACACACGTGGAATCGGGGGGGGGGGGCAAAAGCTAATAAATAATAAAAGAGGCTACATTTGGAAGGCATGTAAACAGTTATAAATACTCAAATGATTATAGATCCCCCCCCAAAGCTGGTGAAATACCAAACACTCTTCAAAGGCTTAGTAACATCTGGAGTAATCATGGTACCTTGTAGCCCAAATACAGACCTATGGTGTCCTCAGTGGGCCGCGTTACGGTGAAATGTTACGGCGAGCCGCGCTTATTGAACAGCTGACAATATCTAAACTGGAATATAAGGAGGTGAAGGGCAGGAATTGCTTATGTCTAATGTTTCGCTATGTCCCCTTTCTTCAGGATAATTTGCCTTTGCCATGGTGCTAATTTGCTCTCATCGTAACCCAATATCTTCAGCTTTTCGGACTGCTCTTTCTCTCGATCCGCCTCTTCTCTCTTTAACTTTTCTTGTTCTTTCCTGAAACAGAAAAAAAATAAAGAAAGACGTTGTTAAAATTGTGATGGCTACAAGTAAAGGCTAAAAAACATGACTGGGAATTCACTTAAAGCAGAGCTCCACCCAAAAGGGGAAGTTCCGCTTTAAGGACTGCTCCCCCGCTCCCCATTAAGGATTTGCACCTTTGGGGAGCAGGTACCTGAATTTGACAGGTACCGGCTCCCACTTCCGGTCCGATCGCAAACAGAAGGTGCCCTCCCTCCCTCCCTGTAGTCTATTGGGACATGTGACAGGTCCCAGAAGACTATAGGACCATTCATGAAGCGCAGCGCTGCTCGCGCATGCGCAGTGGGTACCCGGCTGTGAAGCCGCAAGCTGTCACAGTCGGGTGCCCACACCGAAGATGCCGGCCTCCTGCAATACAGGACGGCCGGTGAAATGGGCTGGCGGGGGACACACCATGGGACCAAGGGACAGGTAAGTGGCTGTTTTTAAAAAGTCAGCAGCTACATTTTTTGTAGCTGCTGACTTTTATGTTTTGATAGGTTTTGTGGAACTCCGCTTTAAAGACTAATTCCAGTTCTTGCCAAGAAAAAAAAAAAAACATTCCCATCTGAATACTGGATTTGTTTTTAACTGATATAGTTACATAGTTAGTCTGGCTGAAAAAAGACAAAAAACTCCATCCAGTTCAACCCTAAAAAAAAAAAAAAAATGTTATAATCCTACACCCACAGTTGATCCAGAGGAAGGCAAAAAACTCAGCAAAGCACGATCCAATTTGCTCCTGCAGGGGAAAAATTCCTTCCTGATCCCCCGAGAGGCAATCGGATATTCCCTGGATCAACTTTCCCTATAAATGTTATATCCAGTTATATTCTGTGTATCCAAGAAAGAATCCAGGACTTTCCTACAGCAATCCACTGAGCTGGCCACAACCAACTCTTGAGGGAGTCTATTCCACATTCTCACAGCTCTTACTGTGAAGAAACCTTTCCATGGTGTGTGTATAATGACATTTAATTGAGAGATCATCCACCATAAAAGTACAACCATTAATGTTTTTTTCATTTGTCCTCATCATTTGAGGCAATATTGGTGTTGTGCAAGTATGGCAGGGATGTGGTGGTGAAGCATTGACTAGACCAGGGGTCTCCAAATTTTATAAACGAAGGGCCAGTCCTGACATCAGTGGGAGTAAACAGTGCCTCATCATTGGTATTAATGGGAGACAGAGTGCCCCATCACTGGTATCAATGGGAGGAATAGTTTCCCTTTGTTGGTGTCAGTGGGGGGAATAGTTTCCCTTTGTTGGTGTCAGTGGGAGGAATAGTGCCCCATCATTGGTGTCAGTGGGAGGAATAGTGCCCCATCATTGGTGTCAGTGGGAGGAATAGTGCCCCATCATTGCTGTCAGCGGGAGGAATAGTGCCCCATCATTGGTATCAGTGGGAGGAATAATGCCCTATCATTGGTGTCAGTGGGAGGAATAGTGCCCCATGATTGGTGTCAGTGGGAGGAATAGTGCCCCATCATTGGTATTAGTGGGAGGAATAGTGCCCCATCATTAATGCCTGTAGAAGGAATAGTGTCCTAACACTGGTGTCAGTGGGAGGAATAGTGCATTATCATTGGTGTCAGTGGGAGGAATAATGCCCTATTATTGGTGTTAGTGGAAGGAATAGTGCCCCATGATTGGTGTCAGTGGGAGGAATAATGCCCCATGATTGGTGTCAGTGGGAGGAATAGTGCCCCATCATTGGTATTAGTGGGAGGAATAGTGCCCCATGATTGGTGTCAGTGGGAGGAATAGTGCCCCATCATTGGTATTAGTGGGAGGAATAGTGCCCCATCATTAATGCCTGTAGAAGGAATAGTGTCCTAACACTGGTGTCAGTGGGAGGAATAATGCCTCATTATTGTCAGTGGAAAGAATAGTGCCCCATGATTGGTGTCAGTGGGAGGAATAGTGCATTATCATTGGTGTCAGTGGGAGTAATAATGCCCCATTATTGGTGTTAGTGGAAGGAATAGTGCCCCATGATTGGTGTCAGTGGGAGGAATAGTGCCCCATCATTAATGCCTGTAGAAGGAATAGTGTCCTAACACTGGTGTCAGTGGAAACAATAGTGCCCCATGATTGGTGTCAGTGGGAGGAATAGTGCACTATCATTAGTGCCAGTAGGAGGAATAGTGCATTATCATTGGTGTCAGTGGGAGGAATAGTGCCCCATGATTGGTGTCAGTGGGAGGAATAATGCCCCATCATTGCTGTCAGCGGGAGGAATAGTGCCCTATCATAAGTGCCAGTAGGAGGAATAATGCCCCATCATTGGTGTCAGTGGGAGGAATAGTGCCCCATCATTGGTGTCAGTGGGAGGAATAGTGCCCTATCATTGGTGTCAGTGGGAGGAATAATGCCCCATGATTGGTGTCAGTGGGAGGAATAGTGCCCCATCATTGGTATTAGTGGGAGGAATAGTGCCCCATCATTGGTATCAGTGGGAGGAATAGTGCCCCATGATTGGTGTCAGTGGGAGGAATAGTGCCCCATCATTGGTGTCAGTGGGGGGAGGAATAGTGCCCCATCATTGGTATCAGTGGGAGGAATAGTGCCCCATGATTGGTGTCAGTGGGAGGAATAGTGCCCCATGAATGGTGTCAGTGGGAGGAATAATGCCCCATTATTGGTGTTAGTGGAAGGAATAGTGCCCCATTGTTGGTATCAGTGGTGGGAACTATGCTCTACTGTTGCTGATGGTGGGGGAAATAATGCCTCAAGGGCCAGATAAACGCAAGCAAAGGGCCGCAGTGTGGAGACCACTGGACTAGACCCTTGGCACTACAATAATCCAAACTTACAATGTTCCTGAACACCTACTGATTAGACTATTAACAAACCAATCTATTTTACATGTATATCTTTGACTGTGACTGTAATTTCATCACACCTTCAACCTCCAGTGCTTGGAAACATATTGGACTGAATAGATCAGGACCTCCAGTCTGTAATATAGAGGTTCCTTCCAGCCAGTTGATAAGCACTCACCGTTTCAGCTCTCTGTTGCACGCAATGTTGGAAGGAAAGAGAAAAAAGAAAATTGTTAAATACTGTAGAAACGGGCAAGAAAATTCTCAGTCTGAACTTTCATTGTAATCAGTTCTTACTTATCCTCTTCCAGCTTCTTCCTCAGGATCTCTCTCCGCCATGCCGGCATGGTTGACAACCGTGCTGCCTCCTCCTGCTCCTGTACAAGAGCAACAACTCATAAATACACAGCAATGCCACCGCATTCCATTCAAATGATATTTAGACTTTCTCATCCAGTAGGAAAAAGCGTCATTTTTAAAGAGGTCCTACATATTGTGCCACCTGACCCAATCAGTTTATTTCGTCTCTACCTTTTCCAACTGATGGAGGTAAGGTTAGGCCCAGCTGTTAATGCAAAGAGGATCCATAACACAGACCACTTTCTTGGCACCAACACGACAGCATACATGTAGTAGTTTATTGCCATGAATTTTTGCCAGGAAAGGAAAATTACGGGATGCAATTGATACAATTTTTCATCAAACCAACATACTACCATATGTATGCTGCCATGGATAGGCCTCATGAAAATTTTGGTAAGCATTTGATACATTTTTCCATCTTCCTGGTGCCAATATAATAGCATGTATACTACAATGGATTTGAGTGAGGAAAGGAAAATTGTGGTTTGCCTTTGATACAATTTTCCAGTTTCCAGTTTCCTGGCTCCAACATATGAGCCTACTACCACAGGTATGTTGCCAAGGATTGGAGTCAGGAAAATTTTGGTAATTAATTGATACAATTTTCCTTTTTCCTGATGCCAATGTGGTAGCATACTACATTTATGTTGCCATGGATTGGCCTCAGGAAAATTTTGGTAAAAAGTTGATACGATATTCCAGTCTCCTGGCACCAAAATGGCAGCATACTATCACATATATACTGCCATATATTGGAGTCATGAAAGTAAAATTATGGTAAGCCTTTGAGACAAATTTCCATTTACCTGGCTCAAGCACGGCAGCATGCTACCAGATGTATACTGCCACGGATTGGAGTCAGGAATGGAAAATTATGGTAAAAATGTGATAAAATTTTCCAGTTTCCTGGCACCCACATGGCAGCATACTACCACAGGTATGTTGCCATGGATTGACCTCAGGAAAATTGAGACAAATTTCCAGTTTCCTGGCACCAACATGGCAGCATACTACCACAGGTATGTTATCATGGAATGGCCTCAGAAAAATTAACACAAATTTGCATTTACCTGGCTTGAACATGACAGCATACTATCACATGTCTACTGCCATGGATTGTAGTCAGGAATGTAAAATTACAATAAATATTTGATACAATTTTGTAGTTTCCACAGGTATGTTGCCATGGATTGACCTCAGGAAAATTGAGACAAATTTCCAATTTCTTGGCACCAACATGGCAGCATACTACCACGGGTATGTTGCCATGGATTGAGCTCAGGAAAATTGAGACAAATTTCCAGTTTCCTGGCATCAAAATGGCAGCATTCTACCACAGGTATGTTGCCATGGATTGACCTCAGGAAAATTGAGACAAATTTCCAGTTTCCTGGCACCAACATGGCAGCATTCTACCATGGGTATGTTGCCATGGATTGACCTCAGGAAAATTGAGACAAATTTCCAGTTTCCTGGCACCAAAATGACAGCATTCTACCACGGGTATGTTGTCATGGATGGCCCTCAGGAAAAGAAAAGTATGCTAAAAATTTGATACAATTTTCCATTTGATCACAGCCTAGGAATGAACAGTTTCAGGGCCAACCAGTGAGTTCCTCAGTGGAGAGACCCAAAGAAAACCATTTAATGTTTGATAAAGAACAAACACAGATGTTGTAAACATTTTGTAGGTTTAAATTGAGCAGCCCCAAAAATATTAATGATTTCATATTTGCAACACACTAAAGTACGCCATGATTACTCATAAGGGGAATTTTACATATACTGGAACTTCTATCAATTCTGTTGCGCAACAAGGCAATGTGGTCACATGCCTGATGAAGGGGTCCTGCGAGACTCCGAATAGTTGCCTTTCTGTAACTGATCATTTATTAAAACTTTTGGACCCATATTGGTGATCCTTGGTGTGCTGGTGACATTCTCCCTCACAAGGCAATGGGTGGCATGTGACAGATAACGAAAGGCATACTTTTAGAAAAAAATGAAATGCACCCTTATTAGTTAATTTAAAAATGCGCACTCATTTTTTTTCCATTGGAGCCTGCAAAACATTGTAACCAGGATTGGTGGATGGCGGGTGTAATGCTCTGGCTCCTGTAGGCCAGCCCCAGGTCTGTAGGGAGTAAGGACTTTGTTAGTCGGCTGGAGGAGGTATCAGTACGGTGACATCATTGGAGGTATCCATGTGGTGTGGTGACATCATTGCCCCTGTGCTCTATTGAGAATTACGAGTACCCTTACTATGGGTACCATTAGGAGTTCAGTCCAACTCCTCCCAGGCCATGCCTCCAACGCAGTTTGCCCCACCCACAGGTCTTAGTCATAGGGCTCCCCTACCTGTGGGTGGGGTGAATTGCATTGGGACATGGCCTGGGAGGAGTTAGACTGAAGCCTTTAAGCCTTTCCTACTCTTCTATACTCCTGGGCTGTTTTCTTGGAGTGCTCATCCGCTTTTCCGTTAGTGTCCACCCTCTTTGTTGCCACACATAAGAGCTATGTGGACAGCAAGAGGTTTAATAGCCTGTGCGGACAGACTTTGGGCTTTTGTCAATCACATCAGATTGAGGTGCTTCTGAGAGAAAATTTCTCCAATGGTATAAAAGTTAGAAAGAAAAATCTAAAATGTTAAGTTGTAACTAAACCAGGGACAGATGAGAAGTTTTCCAATTGGAACACTTGGCCTGTTGGCAACTGTCCAAGAAGGGATTTGACTTACTTTGGAGAGAGATCCTCTCACTTCGTGAGGTGTCTACAGGACAGGAAGTGACAAGTAATGAGACATCTGGAGTCTAAAAGACCCCTTATACCTCAGCTGTCCTTCAGTCCTCTCACCTGTCCTCCAGTTCCTGTCCTGTTGTGTCTACAAGACAGGAAGTGAAGGGAAATCTCCCCAATTGGACACGGATGGCCATTCCATATGCTTTACATCAAAAATAAAAGTTGTGGCTTTGCATATAGCTTAAGCATCTATTTCCTGTAACCGGCTTCTTAAAAGGATGCTATGCCCTTGCCTATGCAGGAGAAGGTGACACTGCCTCTGCACAAATCCTCCCAGACCCCCCTTTTATTCGCCTTTCCAGCGTTCTGTCCTTTGTCACAGCTACTGTTGAAATCAGCCGTGCCACTCCGTTGGAAATGTGACAGTGCTCTATTGATTGGCTCCCAGGTCTGAGCATTGTAGCAGGGGAGGTGGTCACATGCTCTTCCATTTCTGGATTTGCTGGCCACGATGGAGAAGGAGCAGTGAGGGAGAGCGGGGGTAGGGCGAGTATAGTGGGGTCTTTGCAGAGACATGGTCACGTTGCCCTGCATTGGCTAAGTGGACAGTGTCTCTTTAAATGCCAGTAGACTTTCTGGTAGGTCTTAAAACATCTAAAAGTATAAACACCATAAAAAATAAAGGTTAAATATTAAATTTTAAACAGTGAAATGTGCATTTTAGTTAGTTTAGTCCCAATGATATAATTCTTGCAATATTTAATACAAAAGAAAGCACGCAAACCCCAATGAAAGAGAGTTGTGAGTCTCCGAAACACAATGGATATATTTTCAGACCTGTAGTCAAGATAAGTGTAGAGCCCCTCTAGTTAGCCAGGGGGAGCTAGCTAGGTTAGCAGCCTGGTGTGAGTCAGCCATGGATGAGTCAGCCAGGTTCAATTTAGGCCAGTGCTGAGGGCTCTGCAAGTCAGTTCCTTGATACCTCCCCCTGCTTTAGAAGCTTCATAAGTTTCTAGAAGGCAGTGGGAGGAAGTTAGGAGGGGCTGAGCAGCATACTCAAAGAATTCTGACCAACCCCCAAGCAGGAGGCTTGGCATGGGGTCAGAACAGTCCTTAAGTATGAGAGAGCCTGACCAGGAAGTGTTCATTGTTGGGTGGAAGATGATGTGAGAAGGCTGGAATGCGGAGTCTGGGAGGGGGCCCAGGGAGGAGCCTACTTACATGCAGTGGAGCTGGAAGGATCTCTCAGCCTCAACCGTCCCTTGAGAAAGGACAGCCTGGAAAGCAGGGAAGGAGCCAGGCCAGTGTAAGGCCTGAAGGCAGCTACCAACCCACAAGCTTGCAGGAGAGGACTGAGTGAGTAATCCCACATCCCCTGGGCCAGATAAGGGGCGAGAGCAGTCAGGTGGTCAACCCAACTAGCTCCTCATCTGGAGCTACTCGGCTAAAGTAGCAGTTTCTGGGTCCCCTTGCTCAGGGATTCCCTCGGGCAGCTGGGTGAAGAGGTGAATTAATCTGAGGTGGTAAACCAGGAGGGCTGGAGAGCTCTCTAATAACAGAATCTTTGTCTGAGGACTTGTACATAGTTGCTAAGGAGTTGTCCTCAAGTTGCAGTTTCCTTGGGCATCCCATACATGCCTCAACTCCATCCAAGTTCAATACACCTTAATAAAATAAAACAAAACCCAAGCTCAAGGACTGTTTACCGACTCCAGTGTGCATGTGTGGAGAAAATGTGTGTTGCCTGGCTGTGCAAAACTTTAGGGGGACCCAAACGCTCAGCAGTTCCCCAGGGGGGTAGTGCTACATAAGTATACTTTTGCTGGACTTGATACAAACCTGTGGCGCTCTCGTCCTTTAAATACTATTCTGATCATCCCAGGGGCCTCTAGGGTACCCCGGCTGACAGCGGCCCCTAGATATACCCAGCTGACAGACAACTGCAAGAGGCCCCTAAGGATACCTGACTGACAGAGATCTTTCTGTAGGAACTTTATATCTAATCAACATCTCACCTACCAATGGCTCCAGCGCTTGACCAATATTATCACGTCACATGGAGGCCCCTAAGGATACTTGACTGACAGAGAGCTGCCTGTAGGAACTTTATATCTAACCAACATCTCACCTACCAATGGCTCCAGCGCTTGACCAATATTATCATGTCACATGGAGGCCCCTAAGGATACCTGACTGACAGAGAGCTGCCTGTAGGAACTTTTATATCTAACCAACATCTCACCTACCAATGGCTCCAGAGCTTGACCAATATTAT